TCGAGATTGAAAATGCTGCATGAGGCGAGAGGAACCTGAAGCCCTTGCCTGTACTCGCCAAGAACTGACAAAATGTGTTTTGGCGCAAAAAAGCAAGGGCCTTTGATTGGAGCTACTGCAACAAAAAGTGCAGCCACCCGGGCGCCTGCATGGCGACGTGACCGCCTGGCTCATGTCGCTGTCGCTGCTTGTGCCTTGCAGGCGGCATTCCAACAAGTGTCAACCAGGCGCGCTAAATAAGATGTCATACACGCACGTGCATAGGCATGCGTACGAGGGCTGTTCTAAATTCCCTTGAATGTCATTACAGCTTTGATTGTCCGGATCCCAGTTCACTTGATACCACGCAGCCACATTTTGGACGCTCCTCAAATGGTGGAGTTGTCTTGCTGTGCTTGAATAGTGTACATCCAAGTCACGCAATAATACTATATGTTCAAACATGCGCATGTAAATGACGATGACGATAATGATGGTGGCGGCGGCGGGGTGGCGGTGGCAGTGGTGGTGGCGATGGTGGCGGCGGTCGTGGTTGCGGCGGCGGGGGCGGTGGCGGTGGCGGTGGCGATGATGATGACGAGGACGATGATGATGGCGACAACGACGACGACGATGACTACGAAAACGACAATGATGAATAACATAGTGATAACAAGAAAAATGCACGAGTACTAAGCAACACAGCAATGCTAAAAAATACAACAAGCCCCGTTTACAACCCTTTTATATGCAGTGAAAACTGTACCAAGTACCTAGCTGAGTGCTTCTGAAGAATGGCTTCAGCACAAAGAAAGCTGGACATCCACGAGTCAGAGAGCACATGTGCCAAAAGAATTAGCCGGAATCCAGAATCCTGAGTCCTCTTTGCTGGCCCGTTTTCCGGCCTGAGGTCAGGGACGTGTGCAACTGCGTGGTGATGTGCTGCAGTTTCTGCTTGTGCCTGCTGGACAGCAAGGCGGCCGAGCGTGGGTGACGCCCTGACCAGGTTTTCATAGAGGGCGCCCCGGTTTCAGGGCTAGCACCCTTTGTCTCGGCTTTGGCAATCTGCATGAGCGCTTATGGTTTTGCAGGTAACAAACCTCCGACTGTCCAGAAAACCCTTGGCTCGAAACATGTGCTGTGGGCCTGGATGGCGTAGAGTCCGGAGAAGGTGACGCAGTGCCCTGCCAAAGTCGCAAAATTGCAGGCGAAGGGCGTTGGCCATCAAAACCAAGGCGTAGCAGGCATGGACTGAGGGTTCAACCAACTACACGGAATCGTCGCCAACTTCCACAAGCATTGAGGGTCCAAGCACGCGAACAATACTGAGTCTTTGCAACAAAGAAATACGGATGCAAAATCGATTGAACAAATTGAAGAGAATGAGGAATGCTTGCAAGCCTTCGCGCAGCTGGATCCTCAGAACCACAAACAGGTGCAACACATGCGTCATAGGGTTTCAACCATGAACGCTTTGGCAAAATGTGCGAAGAACATGAGCAAACACTTTGCCTCTTTGCCAAGTGCGTAGAGTTGCATGAATCGTTTGGTGGGTGCCCCGTGACTTCACTCACTAAAAGCCACCGAAAAACACGGTTGCTCCACGCCCTAATATATTTAGATGCCCTCTTTCAAGCAGTCTCTGTCATATTTCCGCCGAGGTTTGAATGCCATCAAGTTCGCTCTGTCTAGAAATTGGTGACCGGAGTCGCCCACCTCGCTGCTGGACACGTCTCCTGCCAAGAGGTTGCGGATCTTTTCCTGCAACTCCTGCACACGGAGCCCTCGACAAAATCGCATGCATCCGGGCGAAGCTGCTGAAGGATGGTTCGACACGCTGACCCCCTGCGAGGTCTTAGGGTTCGGGATGTTGAGGCTTCGGGTTTGTGAGTCTAGGTTGGGCTTAGGGGTGTGGGTTTAGGGATATTAAGGCTGAAGGCTCAGGAGTTTAGTGGGTTGTAGAAAGGGTGAAACGGGAAAGGCTTCCAGAAGACCAAAAGCAGGAGGTGTTGGGGCGAGGCTGGTGGCTGGAAGAAAAAGATTCTGGGAAGTCAAGCAGAATCTCTCTGCAGAGGGCTCACCTTTCCGGCGCGAAGTCTTGAGCTTGCGTGGGGCCCTGGTTTCTCAGAACCCCTCAAAACATTGGCCCTGCGCAGGCCTGGCCCAGATTCTTTGCAAGAACTCTGTCGGGTGCCTTTGGCTTCCTGAACCTAGGTGGCCCTTCGAGTTCTCACCACACCAAGAGGCTGGCAAAGTCTGCCTGAGGTGTTCTTCTATTTTTGCAGTTTCCAATTGTTGTAGATCCTCCTACCCTGCCGGCCCCCCACCCTCCAATCCACCAAGAAGAGGGCCGGCCTCCCTTGAACGGCTGGTCCCTCTCTCCATCTTTCATCCCTTCCCATCCCTCACCCTCACTCTGTCAATGGCGAGTGATAGGTGATAGGTATGGTACAGAGAAGTGGCGAAGATGAAGCTGGGCATCACCAGCTTGTAAATGAGATTTCGAAAGCAAACAGCTCGTGATGTGATGGGGAGAATTAGAAAGCCAATAACATGCTAACAAATGAAATGCTTAATTGGCTTTCCTATCATCCTCTTTCATTCTCTTCTCATCTCTTCTCTCCACCCTCCCATCCACTCGGCCCCCCACCCTTGCATACCCCGCCCCCTCCCGCGAAAAGGACCTTCCAACCCGTCCGCCGATGAACCCCAAGCTGTCTAGGGGACACTTGACCTCGGTCCTGCCTTCTTTTCCTCAGCCAGCCGCTTTTCAGCATTTGTCGTGAACCTTGGGCACTGGAGCATACACAGGTCGCGGCTTTTGCAGGGCAGCATGGTCACCTAGTCGCCTCTGCCGAAATTGAACATACCTGCGAGCCCTAGAAACAGACAAAGAGCCACAACCGGGGTGATTCTCCTTTGACGGAGCTTGATTCGAACGCATGCTGTTGGTGGAGGCTGTAAACAACAGTTGAATGAATCAGTCGCAAGCACCACGAAATGGCTAACACCCTCTCTTTGTCGAGAAAGCCAGAAGCATAGGCACAAAGAATAGATCTCTGACCAAACTGGCAAGGTCACAACTAAGGCAAGAGCTTGCTTTCGTCCTCCTCCTCAAGTAAGACCTTTGATTCAAAGATAAGAGCTTGCAAGGGAGCGGCAGGGAGGGGATGGGACAAAAATGGTAGGGGCCCTGTTTTAGTTAACCCCAAAGAGCATATGAGGAGTTAGACACATGGGCTGATTTGCAAGACGTGATGCAAGGTCATGCAGTATTGCGTCTGGTCATGCTTTGTCAAACACGGGAAGGCCTTGCCATGACTTTCTGTGACGGTTCAAGAACAAGAAATCAATAGGAATATGTGTGGAGGGCCGAAGACCCCGCTTTCCCGTCATAATTGGTGAGAAACTTTGTTCGAACACGTATGGATGTTCCATGTGACGAGAATCCTGCCACATGACCAAAGACTTCTCCCCAGCAGCTACGGCCCACTCAATGGTGCAACGTTAAAGTTGCTATGTGTTGGAGGGTGTGAACATTGTTTGTCGTTTGATGGCGGAGTCTCAAATGGCCATCAAATGCTGAAGTTTTTCATTTCAACCTGCAACGCAAACTGCAAACTGCGGACCTGCGCTGCTGGCAGCTCCACAATCTGCAATGGGAAGCACAAGCATTGCAAGGCGACAAAGTGAATGAGCCGCCAAACTCGCCGTTAGTGCTGAATCTGGCTGAATAGCAAGACCTTGATGTGGAATCAGACAAATTGAAGCAACAACACAATCGGTCAATGTGGAACAAACCAATGCTTGCCAAGTCTGTCTAGCAGTCATTTTAGGATTGTGTCAAGTCAGTATTTTGAGTTTGTAGGATCGCTATGCGTGAACATTGCTGCTATATATCTGATAGAATTGAGGTCAAATGTCGAGTGGATTTTCGGATTTTTCGGTGCCTCCTTCGGCCTTCCGTAAAGCTGTAGAAACACCGCCCTGCTTGGTGTTGTCAAGCGCCGCTCTCGGCTGCATTTTTTTGAACGTCACGGGCCGGGAAGCAATCATGGAAGTAGAGCCTGAGAGCAGCGCAGGGCTGCCCTCCTCCGTCCTCTGGAGCACAAGTCAAGGAGTCAAGGCCAGTTTGACTTGTAACCAGAACTCTGATCGAGCCTAGTTGAGAACGCATTGACATAGCATGAACCTGATAAGGTATCTTGATACGGTATCACTCGCATCACCTGCAAACAACATCGAACTCATACTCCACGTGTCCCCCTTTCCTGAGTTTCAACATGTGTCAAACAAAGCCCAGGAGTCTAAGCAGGCTCAGACACACACACACAGACACACAGACACACAGACACACAGACACACAGACACACAGACACACAGAAACACAGACACACAGACACACAGACACACAGACACACAGACACACAGACACACGGACCCACACGCACACGCACACGCACACGCAAACGCACACGCACACGCACACGCACACGCACACGCACACGCACACGCGCACACGCACCCACGCACCCACGCGCCCACGCGCCCACGCACCCACGCACCCACGCACCCACGCACCCACGCACCCACGCACCCACGCACCCACGCACGCACGCACGCACGCACGCACGCACGCACGCACGCACGCACGCACCCACGCACACACGCACACACGCACACACGCACACACGCACACACGCACACACGCACACACGCACACACACGCACACACGCACACACGCACACCCACACGCACACGCGCACACACGCACACACGCACACACGCACACACGCACACACGCACACACGCACACACCCACACACACGCACACACGCACACACGCACACACGCACACACGCGCACACAGGCACACACGCACACACACGCACACACACGCACACACACGCACACACACACACACACACACACACACACCAACACACACACCAACACACACACACACCAACACACACACACCAACACACACCCACACACGCACACGCACACGCACACGCAC